TATTAAAAAAAAAAAAAAAAAAAAAAAAAAAGTTAAATTTATTTATAGAAATTCCAAAGGCAACATTTTATTTATTTTATATATTTATTTATTATATAGAGTTTATTTTTAATGAAATATGTACAGGCCAGATAGGCATTTTGGAAGCTTAGGCTCTGTAAGCATTAAATGGGAAAGTCCGCTATAAACCTGTGGTGAATTCATGCAAGTGAATATAACTTTGCATGGATATGAGAAATTCTGATGACCCTTAATGTACTGAAGGTGACAATCTCTTTTGTGCCCGTATTATTGTAAACTTATGCACATCATTCATGACACTGAGTATTCACTCTTCAGAATGCTTGTTTCATAGCTTGTCCCAGAGGATTAAAGATAAACTGGGTCTCAAACTTTTATTCTGTGTCTGTACTATTTACTCTCTTATAAGTGACTGATGCCATCCTTGTAATGTCATGGTTGGAAACTATGAGGGTCGGTGTATATCCGACTTGTCTAAATCTATTGCAGAATGTACCAAAGCTAAGCAGTAGCCATGCTTTTATTTTAGTTGGTCTCCAGAACAGGATTAACATCAAACATTGTTCTGATTTAGAATTCTCAAAAAGGAAAAAAAATAAAAAGCTTACACAACAAAGATTATTTTTTAAAGGGACACCTGAACCAGATTAGTAGGATCATTCTTATAAACTTTTTATTTGTGCATTTGGTTATCAAATATGAAATTATACAAGTACCATAGAGGTCATTGTAACATCTTTTATAGAAAATTGCTTTTGGTGTGAACTGTCATAATACGTGGTAATAGAACCTTCAAGTAAAACTTGCAAATGAAACTAGTAAGTCTTCATCAATATGACAATGAGGGGGAAAGTATTATACTTGACTGTGTTTTGTTTTTAAAAAGGTCTTCACAAGCGCTCAGTTTTTTTAGAGGGGAGGTTACTATATAGAATATCTTTTACAAGGCTTTTATACCATTTTATGCTGAAAAGCATAAGAATACATATTTCTTTATTAGCAATAATTTTGGAACTTGCCCTTGGGCAAGGGGGACTATTCCTTACTATATCTAAGGAGAAAATAGCCAAATTCTTAAAGCAATATTTAAGAAAAAGGAATTTATAACACATTCTCATACCATAGAGAACAGTTTTTAGTCCATTATGTTTGGAAATTGAAAGTAACAGTTCAAAAATGTGTTGGGATTTACGTAGCTAATTAAAAATTTAATATTCCAACTTTGTTTTGCTCTGATGCACATTCTCTATGAAAAATAAAGGTATGTCACTGGTGAGTTAAAGCTGTTTTGAAGTAGAAGCCCATAATTTATTGCCATGAACACATGTGGCCCTTCTAAGGTCCAAGCTGGAGCACATAGCAGAGCCCTCCTGCTGATGGGAATTAAGGAAAAACGAAGTCTAACCTTTGGAATTAAGAAATATTTGGGGGGTAGGGGACTGGAACAATGTAAGATAGTCAATTTATGATAAAGGTCAGAATGTTCTCTTCATTTAGTTTCTTGTTTTTTTGTTAACTTTCCAAGGAGAAACTGCATTTAAGCCCAAGATGTAGTAGTCTTATTTATTACTTAACTCTTCGCTGCTGCTAAAATGTGCACATATTCAGGCTTTAGTTTTTCCAAAAGGCATTTAATATTTTTGACTGAAAAACATTAACATCTGACCACAGAGAAGAATCAAGTTTCTATGATGTCATAGGTACAATATTTAGAACTGAAAAAATTGATTTTAGGTGTTAGCCAAAAGTAATCTTAAAGTAGCATGAGATGCTAATTAGCCCAAAATAAAGAAAACAATTTGTGAAAAAGACTAAAAGTTCCATGCATTCCTAGAAAATGCTACTTTAATGTCTATATTTGGAGTTATTTTGTTTTGGTACCTATTTAAAAAAAGAAGAAAATGTTATATGCTTTTGGTAATGGACACAATAAACTGTAATGGTCTGTAAATAAATAAATATTGACTTATGCAATTTATGTAAATAAGTGTTCTGGGAGAGTAGGTGGCTCAGGTTTTGGTGGGCATTGTCCTGCTGGGCAGCAGAGTGAGTTATTCCTAGCTCATAGGTTTGCATCTGGTTCTTTTCATAAGAGGCTCAGAGCCCTTTGAGTGGCAGCCCTGAGCTACTATGGAACGGGTGGTCCCAGTTTTCACAAACAGATGCTCAGACAGCCCAACCACTATGATATTGGTGCCAATATGTGCACCTTGGTTAAAAGACTAACAGGCATGACTGAACCACCCTCCCATCTGTTTTGTGAATATCCCAGGCAGTGTCAAAGGACATGCCAGGTTGAGGAACCTGTCCCCACCAGGTCCTGTTGTGTAGGTAAATGAATGGATTTAGTTTATGGTGTTTTCATTCTGTTGCATCTCATGAACACTACAACCTTGCTTGATTTCCTTGATAATCTGTAATTTTATGTAAATACATACAGAATTATGGAATTTGTGTAAATACATAATTATAGACTTTTGAAAAGTGGTATTTTTTTACTTAATGTCCATTTTGGAACTGCTTCAAGTTATGTGCCTACATGAACCAATGGAATTTTAAAAACATGCTCTTCTTGCTCTTACAGCTGTTGCATGTATGTTGAGGGAGTGGGGGTGGAGGATGGAAGGGGAGGAACAAATATATCCAGATGCCTTTTTTAAAAATTTACCTTTATTGTTGAAAGTATTACAGATGTCCCCCCTTTTTCTCCCATTGACCCCCTCAGATTCCTTTTCTTTCTGTAAGCATTAGATAGAGAAGCAGGTAACCTTCTGGGATAGACATTTAAGGATTTGTAGCAAGGAAAACGGAATGTGTGTGCACATCTATGTGGATGGTTGAATGGACAAAGTCACATTGTTTGAGGTCAAATTCTGTTTGCTGAATCATTTGACCTTGAAATGTGCCAAATTTAGATCCACTGTTTTCGGTCACTTGCACCAAAGAGCAGTGCAATGGTGTGGGTGGAGGAATACTCCAGATGGATTCAGAAGATGTGTTGGCCACCAAGCCCCTCTTGAGGGCATGTTATACATATTGTATAACACCCACATGTGTCCATAGACAATGCATATTTTATTTAAAACTCTTTTTTTTTTTGCTGCTTCAGTCATTTTGAGTCCTGGTAAAGTTTCTGAGAGCAAACTGTGGTGTTGGAACATATTATCTTGGCATTACCATAAAATTTTATTTATTTATTTATTTATTTATTTATTTATTTATTTATTTATTTATTTATTTACTTACTTATTTAATTTTATTTTTAAAAAATATATCTTTATTGATTTCAGAGAGAGGAAAGGAGAGGGAGAGAGAGAGATAGAAACATCAATGATGAGAGAGTCATTGATCAAGCCCACAACCCGGGCATGTGCCCTGACCGGGAATCGAACCCCGATCGCCTGGATCCTAGGTTGACACTCAACTACTACGCCACGCCTGGCCGGGCACCATGAAATTTTAAAAACAATATTCCTTGAGCCTCAAAACACTCCTAGGCAATCTAGGACATTCATTGCCTAGGTTAATTTAATTTATTTTTATTCCCATCCCCCCATGGCCACCCCTTTGGCAACCATCAGCTGTATCTATGAGTCTGTTTCTGTTTTGTTTATTCTTTTTTTTTTTCTTTTTAGATTCCAATGAGATCTATAAATGATCTCATTTAGATCTATAAATGAGATCATATGGTATTTGTCCTCTGTCTGACATTTCACTTAGTGTCCATGTTGTCCCAAATGACAAGATTTTGTTCTTTTTAATAACTAAGTCATATTCCATTGTGTATCCATTTTCTGTATCTTTTCATCTGTCGGTGAACCCTTGGGCTGCTTCCATATCTTGGCTATTATAAATAACACTGCAATGAACATAGGGGTGCATGTATTTTTTTGAATTAGTGTTTTGAGTTTTTTTTGGATAAACACCCAGAAGTGGGATTGCTGGGTCATATTAAGGTATTCTATTTTTAATTTTTTGAGGAATCTTCATACTGTTTTACATAGTGACTGTACCAAATTGCATTCCCACTAACAATGCACAAGGGCTCTTTTCTCCACATTCTTGCCAACACTATTTGTTGATTTATTGATGGTAGCCATTCTGATAGGTGTGAGGTAATGTCTCGTTGTTTTAATTTGCATTTTCTTGATGATTAGTGATATTGAGCATCTTTTCATATGTCTATTGGCCATCTGTATGTCCTCTTTGGAGAAATGTCAGCTCAGGTCCTCTGCCCATGTTTTAAATTGAATTGTTTTTTTGGTGTTAAGTTTTATGAGTTTTTTATATATTTTGTATATTAACCCCTCATCGGATGTATCATTTGGAAATATGTCTTGATTGAAGCACTTAATCCATTTACATTTAGAGGAATTATTGATAAATATGTACTTATTGCCATTTTGTTAATTGTTTTTAGGTTGTTTCTATAGTTCTCTCTTCCTTCTTTTCTTGCTCTCTTCCCTTGTGGTTTGCTGTTTTCCTTTAGTGTTTTGTTTAGGTTCCTTTCTCTTTGTTCTTTGTATGTCTTTTGTAGGTTTTTGGTTTGTGGTTGCCATGAGGCTTATGTATATCATTCTTTATCTATAGCAGTCTATTTTAAGCTGATAGGCATTGAAATTAGAATATATTCTATAAGGGCTACATTTTTACTCTCCCCTCCATGCTTTATGTTATTGATGTCATATTTTAGATCTCTTTGTGTTGTGTATCTAACTACTTATTGTAGTTTGAGTTGAGTTTGATA